GCCATGGACCATCTCAGGAAGGGCCTGGGAGAAACCAGAGGCTGTAGGTAGACCCACAACTTGGCAGCTGCCCATGGAAGCTCTGGAGCCTATAGCCATAGCCAGACAGTGTCCCACATTCCTGAAGGCTCAACACTCTTGTTCACACTTCTATTGAAATTTGGGTACCTCCTGCTATCAAAACTATTTCTGACAGAAACATCTTTAGCAAAGTGTGACCAACTGGAACTCCAATATTTCCTTTTTGTTGCTTCCAAAGACAGAGACTAAAGTCTTATAGAGATACAACAGCTCTGACATGTCATCTCTGCCCAGAAAGAACACAAGCGACAGCAAGGCATGAGGCTGAAGACATTGGGTAAGGAGGAAAGGGAAATGAAAGAAGAGCCACAACAAGGAAAATACTGTGCTCCTGGAAATGAAACTTCACGGTGCTGGGACTCCCCCTTAGAAGCCTGGGGCCTGACTCAGCACACGCTGGTAAATGCTAAAGAGGATTTGCTCAGGACTAGAGCAAAGTGAGACTTCCCCACAGCCATCTTCGCCTACTTGATACATTGGGTGTTTTCCTTTCTCTCTTCCCATAGTGCTCGGGGCTCCCCAGTCACTCCACTGAGCTGGCCTGGATGTCTCTTTTCTGGCAGAAGGCAGGGCCCATTGTTGCTTTCTACCTTACGGATAAAATCTGATCATTAATCAAAGAAGGTATGTGACAGTGAGAGGGGGAGGTTAATACAGACCTCAGAGAATGTCTTTTGGGACTTTCTGAGTATTTTTTCAACAACAGATTTTAGCCAGTATATCTCTATAGCAACATACTATCTATTATTACTATTGTTGCTGTTATTTCACTTTGTTGTCCTTTAATATTCAATCTCAAGCTGAATGACTTTTACATTTTTCTCATTTGGGACAAATTATTAAGTGTTTAAGGGGCTATTTTATAGGCTTCATTTAAAAACTGACTCAGAGAAATACTTTTGGTCTTCAAACAGTTGTTTCCCAAGGGTATCGAAAGAGGCAATACATTGATGTCTGTCCCACTAACTCTAAAACTTCTGTAAAAGATGGAAATAAAATTTCTGTTCATAAAAGAAGAGCTGAGATAGTGAAGATTAACAAGAAGTTAAGATCTCAGCCTGAATTTTCCCAGGAGCATCTTTATCCTTATTAATCAGGGGAAAAGAGAAAACATGGGATTTCCTAAAGGAACTTGTATGAAGTGAACAAACACCAAACAATCCAAGAGTGCACTCCCTCCAACTGGAATACAGGTTTCAAATCTTGCTAGAAGGTCAATGCTCTGAGCTCTTTAGGACTCTAACCGGTTATACACAAAGGGCATGTTACTTACTACAATGTGAAAATATAAGAAAATCTTATTCGTGTGCTTTGTCAGTTTCACAAAATGGTCTGAACGATCACAAAAAAAGGAAGAAAGGAGAGACAGGATCAACTGATTCTGGGAGTCTTACAAAGTCACTCTATTCTGCTTGTATTTGAGAAAAAAATAACACACCTTTGCTATGATTCACCACATAATAGGGGACTCAAGAAGCTAGAGGAAGACAACATAAGAAGGAAGAGAAAGGAAGCAATGAGAAGAAATGATGAGAGACGAGAAGGAGAAAATGTCAGCTCCAGTCAAGCTGCCCCATCAAAGGACTGCTTGCTCAGATCCTGATTCCATGGTCAGAGGCTCTGGTGCCCTGAGCATCTTTTCGCTTTTGCTGTTCTCATCGCTCCACTTCTCCCATATAATGACAAGGAAATCAATGAATGTCTCTGTTTAGGTGGTGGGTGGAGCAAGGGATTTTCTAAGTTTCTTAGAAACTTAGCTTTTCCAAGTTTCCAGAGGAGCAGTGAGATCTGGGTAAAGAAAGTAGAGAAGGTACCGTTGCTACCCCAGAATGTCTAGAGGGACAAGTGAAGCCTCTCATTTCTTTGAGCTCCCCACATTTAATAGAGGTTTCTCTCTGAGGTCCTTCAACATCTCCTGCCCCACCCGAAGAGAGTTAAGTATACCCGTGGAAATCCCCTGAGCCAACTAGCACATGCTGTACCAAAATATTGTGTCTTGACTTTGTTCTTTTACATCTTCACAACTAAAGGAAAGAGATACAATCAAAATGATAGTCCACTTGAATGATAAACAAGAGAACTTAAAGAGACACGACCCAATTACTCACCCGTGGAGTGACAGTCTGTGAGCAGTTCACGAGGTCTGTGTTGCTGGATGGCTATGATTTGTGATTTCTCTTTGAACACTTAGTTCATGGAAATTTATAATTGCAGCTTTCTTAAAAGGATGTTCAGCTCAACATGCAAAACACACCAATTTCTGTAAATCAGGCTTATGATTGTCTAACTGAGCATTCAAAGAAAAATCAGAAGTGAGAACACAAATTATCATTTGATGCACAAAATTGTCACCGTTTATTTATGTTACTCTTCATGGAAGATGTGTGGAAAATGCCAAAAGAAGGTGTCAGCAGATGGAGGAGGTAGATTGTGTCCCATTCAGCTGGCTTCTTGCTTTGAAATATTCCTTGAGTTTGTAGTCCAGTATATGACGTTATGAACAGGGCACCCCATGTCTGACACTGGATCTACGTCAACTCTGAAGAGGGGCTCCCAAGGACTAGCACAAATGCCCCACCTCTTCTTTTCACCTCTTACGAGATTGTCACAGTACCTGTAACACTGTGCTTAGTTGCTCAGTCTTGTCCGACTCTTTGGGACTCCATAGACTGTAGCCCACCAGGCTCCTCTACCAGGCTCCTCTGTCCATGGGGATTCTCCAGGCAAGAATACTGGAGTGAGATACCATGCCCTTCTCCAGGGGATCTTCCCAACCCAGGGATCAAACCCAGGTCTCCTGCATTGCAGGCAGATTCTTTACCAACTGAGCCACCAGGGAAACTCACCTGTAACAATAAGACAAGCTAGCCCATGTGGCTTTCAAAGACTGTTTTACCCTGGGGCAAGGGATGTTATTCATCTTGGTTACTATAGCCATTCTTGGGGCTTCCCTGGTGGTTCAGAAAGTAAAGAATCTGTCTCAATGTGGGAGGCCTGGGTTCAATTTCTAGGTTGAGAAGAGCCCCCGGAGGAGACAATGGCCACTCCAGTATTCTTGCCTGCAAAATCCCATTGACAGAAGAGCCTGGTGGGCTATAGTCCATGGGGGTCTCAAAGAGTCCAAACGACTGAGTGACTAACACTTTCCCACTTTCCCATAGTATTCTTACAGGTCCATAGGACTGATGCTACCCAATAACAGTGAATTGAACAGAAGTTTATAAGTCACTGTCCACTCAGCATCTCTGTAATTGTCACCCTATATTCACAGTCTTGCGGATTTTTCTAAAAAAATGGTGAGTCAAGAGAGTGGTGTTTCATGGCCAGAATCCAGGTTAGATTATCCATGACAAGATGTGAGCAAAACTGTGTTGATGACAGAACTGCTATTTACCTATGACTTTGAACACAAATGATGTGGAAGAACATCCAACAATTACTAAGAAGTCATCCAGGCTTGGGCTTCCCCAGTGACTCAGCAGTAAAGAATCTTCCTGCAACATAGGAGTTATGGTTTCAGTCCCTGGGTCAGTCAGGAAGATCCCCTGGAGCAGGGCATGGCAACCCTCTCTAGTATTCTTGCCTGGAGAAGTCCATGGACAGAGGAGCCTGGCAGGCTACAGTCCATAGCAAAGAGGTGCATATTGAAGTGACTTAGCATGCATGCAGCCAAGCTTGACAAATATCACTGGTTTAGCCATGAGGCTGTGTTGAGGACAATTTTTATGGGCAAACTAGTTTAAGGAGAGTCTGAATGACCTCTGTGATTTTCTCAGAATTCTGTCCCGTGTACGTCAGTACCAGTGTGGCATGCGTGTAACTTATGTTCTTGAAAAGTTGTGTGGCAATCAGATTTTCGCAAATGGAAACCTATTTTAAATACACAGAGAAAACTATTTAATCCATTAAACAAAGGGTGGCAGATTTTTTCTGTAAAAAGCCAGATAGTGAAGATTTTACACATTGTGTGATGTACAGTTTCTGCCTCAGTGACTTTACTGTGATACAATCACAAAGCAACCATGTTTCAACACAACTTTACTTACAAGACCAAAGTGTATGTTGGTCGCTCAGTCATGTCGAACTCTTTGTGACCCCATGGATGGCAGCCCACCAGGCTCCTCTGTCCATGGAATTCTCCAGGCAAAAATACTGGAGTGGCTTGCCATTCCCTTCTTCAGGGGATCTTTCCAACTCGGGGATCGGACCCAGGTCTCCTGCATAGCAGGCTGATTCTTCACCATCTGAGCCACCAGGGAAGCCCATTACAAGAACAGGTTGTGGGCCAAATTTGGCTCCTGGGCCCTAGCTTGCCAACTTCTACATTAAACAAATAATTCTCAAGTGCCTACTATGATCGATGAGGCATAAGTAACCACCAGGGATACACAAAAAAACACAACAGAAGAGTGACTGTGCTTGTGGAACTCTATCATGTATGTTCAGAGACGGGAGGTAGATAATTTAAAATATACCTGCAGTAAATGACTTAAGTGCACAATCTTCCTTTACAGCAATACTCACTCAGACAAGCAATTGATAAACTTTGTCTGTTTAGATTTTTGTCTCATGATTCTTTTAAAGTGGATCTAAGCTACTTCAAGCCTAGATTTGAGTCCACCACCTCCATCAGTACATTTGGGGGCAGCCAGGGATGCCAAAGAGGTACCAGCCTCTGAAAGGCTCCATCCCTTCTTTTCCTCTGCTTCTGCTTACAGCAGCAATACTTTTACTCACACTTCCTGTTTCTGCCACTTGCCTTCTTTTCTTCTGTTTAGACTTCCCCCCTACTTCCCCCCTGTGGTTAAACAAGTATAAAGTCCTAAAGCTATAGACTTAAGTTGCTCGTGCTCTCTCTCTCTCATTCATTCCTATGCATAGGCTCACGCGCTTGCTGTCTCCTCTATTTCTCTCTCAGAATGACACTTCTAAGTACTGCTTTGGGTATGCTTTTCTATTTACTTCATGCCGTTTCTGGAGAAAGTGGCTATGCAGAGAATGGTGAGTCATTTCTGATTTTTCTTCAGGATTTCAGATGATCCCTAGCATCTATTTCAGCTGCTCAGATCCATAATAGACTGGAGTGGGGCACTGGGTTAAATATAAGCGAGTTTGAGGACTTACCAGGTAGTTAACCCTTTTACCTGTTCTAACCACCAGGACAGGGGGCCTGGGGCCAACACTGCAAGTGGTCCCTAAAGGCTTAGGATTGTCAAGGGATGCACTTGACTCTCCCAATGTGAATCTTAAATATTTGTTGGTGCCTCTGATCTTACAAAAAGAACACCCATAGAGACATAATGGTCATGCTTGTTAGAGAACCCTCGAGGTAACTTTACCTTGCCAAGAAAAGAAGCTCATTTTGTTTTGCTTTAGCTTTTAAGAGGCTCCAAAAACATCACTTTCAAGATAAAATAATATCCAGAAACAACCACTTTGTCTGCACTTAACCTTTGCTGTTTTCTCAACACCTACTGCAGTATCTAGAACATAGTAGACATTTAACAAATATTTGAAAATTTCCTCAAAATACTTTAGTTTTGGTGTGATCATGTGGTATTCTTAGTGAATAACTGAGTAGGGGTAAGATCTGAATGAGTTCTCTTTGAAATATATTTAACTGTATCCAGGCCAACAAATTTATCATCAGATAACAATTTTCTTTAGTATCCTTAAATACTCAGTACCTAGAGGCAGATGCTGTCTACTTTGTAAACCTATTGTAATTACAACTGAAATTATGCAAATGTGAAGTGGCCCAGAGGAGCCACCTGGAAACTTGGACCACCAAATTGTTCCTGAAAATTAAGTACTTTCACTTTAAGATTTAAAAAGTATTTGCCTAGTGAAGATATCAAGCACGTCAGCCTAATGACTCAGCTTAGATAGCTTAAGTCATGTAATCACTAAGGATGGAAATCCCTAGCATATTTTCGTTAATGGAATTGTCAGAGGGTTGACATTTTTCATAGCGTGACTGTGAATGTGTGGGGGATGATAATTAATTCATGGTAAATGTTGTCTTGTGTCTGTACAGATAGATGCTTGGCAGGTAACACATAAATCTTCCCCTTTGGAATATAATATATCCCTTCTGCTTCCCCACTCCCCGCAGTGGTCATTTTATTTTTAAAAAAAATTAAGGATTCTAATTGAAAGCTGAGTTTTCACTTCAACTTTTTAAATTTCAGGGTATTTTTTAGAGATCTGTAACCACCCATCCACATGATTACATTAAAATACTTCTCGGTTTGAGGTGTCAGGAATTCAAAATAATCAACTGCTCTTTGTTAAAGATAAGTTAGTTCTCTGATAAGCATAAGAATGATCAAGAGAAGAAGATACTTTTTAAAAATCCAAATCATTTATACTTTTAATCAACTAAGCCCTTCCAGTAGGAAAACTTCTAAACCACATTCTCTTGTCTATAATACATATTTCAAAAATTCTAATTTTTATAGTGAGAATTTTTAAAAACTCACTGTTCATAAGCTCTGTGTAATTTCAAATCTGTAGTCATAATAATACCTTTGACAAAACACTCTTTTTCAAAGGAGCCCCCAAAGGTTTCATGTATATCCTTCGAATTAGAATTCTTTTTTTTACCTTTTGTTTATTTCTCAAAAAATGTGATAATAGTTTTAGCTAGCCCTTATTGAGTGTTTTCTGTGTTCTAAGCAATATCTTTGTATTCAGTGGTTCCTCATAATAACACGAATTTAAATATAAGAACCCTGAAGCTTAGAGAGGACCTGATGGAGGATCCCAGCTACACAGTGGAACAGCCAGGATTTAAGTCCACATCTGTCCAGCTCTGGTGCTGGAGGTCTTAACCACTGTGTATATGACTCTTAACTAAGCTGAGAGCAGATATGACATTCTCTTTGTAAAATGCCACGCAATTTTGCAGGTTATTGAGGGGACTTTTCTTGTTTACAAAGCAACTTTGGCTCAGAGTCAATGAGCTCAGAACCTGTTAAAGAAATGAGCTATTTCTCAAAACACAGCCATTTTAACTGTATGACCACTACTTTCTTCTCTTTCATGGAAATATCATTAATTTACAATGTGTGTTAGTTTCAAGTATACAGCAAAGTGATTCAGTTATACATATATATAGAGAGACACACACACATATGTATATATTTTTTTCAGATTCTTTTCCATTATAAATTATTACAAGATATTGAGAATAGTTCCTGGGATTTACAGTAGGGTTTTATTATTTGCCTATGTTATATATAGTAGTATGCATATGTTAATCCTGAACTCCTAATTTATCTGCCTCCCCCACCTTCCACTGTTCCCTTTGGTAAATTAAGTAAGTTTGTTTACTATGTCTGTGAATCTATTTTTATTTTGTAAATAATTTCATTTGTATCATTTTTTTAGATTCTACATATAAGCAATATCATATGATATTTATTTTTCCTCTATCTGACTTACTTATATTAGTATGATAGTCTCTAACTCCATCCATGTTGCTGCAGATGGTATTATTTCATTCTTTTTCATGGCTGAGTAATATTCTTCTGTGTGTGTGTGTGTGTGTGTGTGTGTGTGTGTGTGTGTCTAGTATATATGCTACTGCTGCTAAGTCGCTTCAGTCATGTCCGACTCTATGTGACCCCATAGACAGAAGCCCACCAGTCTCCCCCGTCCCTGGGATTCTCCAGGCAAGAACACTGGAGTGGGTTACCATTTTCTTCTCCAATATAGTATTAGTATATATAGTAGTATATATATATATATATACATACATACATACACATACATACATACATACAACTTGTTCTTTATCAATTCAACTGTCAATGGACCTTTAGGTTGTTTTCATGTCTTGGCTATTGTAAGTGATCACTGCTGATAAGAATATACAGCAAATTATACAGGAGTGCTTTGTTCTGTTGATACCCAGAATCTACTAAAGTCTGCTCTCTCTGGCTTAAGTTGTATGTTAAAGAGCTTTGGAGACAAAGTTGATCCACAAGTGTCTGAATCCAAATAGTAATGTAGGTTCTATTGTACCAGATTGGTGGACGTGCCAGCAATTAGGGGACTGGATCTCACTCTGTAAGATTAAGAGCGAATATATTTTGACATGGGAGCCCCAAATAGTGGGCTGCCCCTCATTATTTAAAACTGCCATTAAAAAGAGGGCCATATCCAGCTGAAATACAGTTCACTTCAGTTACTCAGTCCTGTCCAACTCTTTGTGACCCCCATGGTCTGCAGCACGCCACTCCCCTGTCCATCACCAACTCCTGGAGCTTCCTGAAACTCATGTCCTTTAAGTCGGTGATACCATCTAACCATCTCATCCTCTGTCATCCCCTTCTCCTCCTGCTTTCAATCTTTCCCAGCATCAGGAGCCTTTGCTGGTGGCAGAACTGTGAGCTTGATGGATTCTAGGTATAGTCAGAAAGAGCAGTGCCTGCAGCTCTTACCTTGGTGTGGCTTTTCAAGATTTGTTGCTTTGACTGAACTGACCTTTCTCACACCTGGTTGGTCCACTCACAACCAGCTTTACTAGTTCTCCCAAATAACAACTGGCTTGTTGAAGTAAAGAGGGTTCTGTCTGTAATCCCACGGCCTTCAGGACACTCAGTTGGGCTGTAATTTTCAGTATATTCTCTCTCCTGTTTAAGGCCTGTGCTGTGTTGTGTTGTGTTTAGTCGCTCAGTCATGTCCGAGTTTTTGTGACCCCACGGACTATAGCCCGCCAGCCTCCTCTGTCCATGGGGATTCTTCAGGCAAGAATACTGGAGTGGGTTCCTCCCAAACCCTAGAGCTTCAATTTTCTAGTATCAGTGGCCAAAGTAATTTCAGTATCAATAGACCTTGAAGCAGTCATAGCTCACACTCGATCTCTCCGAGAATGGCTTTGGTTACTCTGGATTTTCTCAGATCCCAGTTGGAGTATCTTTGATGACATATTTTTCTTTATTAAATACTATTAAATATACACACAAAATATATATTTAATCTTAGGGGCCTCAATCCATCTTAAAAAATCAAATGCTATCTCTAAAATACAGTACTTTTCAAAAGCAATGGCATAAAAATTCTGGTTTCCCACATGCTTCTAGAATTTTGCTTGTATTCATAAAACACAATATCTCTAAAGGTAGGATATACAAGCAGAGAAGTAGTATCTTTAAGATTCATGGGAAGCTCCACCAAGTCTGAGTCCTGTGATGTAATTTTTTCTGATCCTGTTTGCCTCAGTTAGTAGCTTAAGACAAGTGGCCTTAAATGTATATTCATACAATGGGAAAAATCAAGGGAGCTTTTAGGTGGGATACCTGTTTAGGTAAGGGAAAGCTACTATTTTAAGAAGTGAACTTCTAACTGCAAGATAGCTATCATCTTCTTTCATTCATTCAAAAAAATTTCTTGGGAGGCAATAAAGGAAGATTAGTAATAAAGTACAAGACTAGATTAGGTGGCACATGAATAATAGAGTATCTCATTTAAATGTATAAACTAACAAAAGAAATACTCATTATACAAAAGAAAGGATGTATTTAGTGCCTCATTCTAGATCTCCAATGCTCTTACCCAATAGCAGAGATATTTATAAATCTTTGGAGATTATTTATTAATTGTGATGACTTTTTTCTATTAGAAAAAAATCTGTGCTCATTGTTTTATTTGAGTTTTGTCATTTTGTTTGCTTTTATTTTTGTTTTTTTTGAAGTCCTATTTCTTATCTTTGCCCTTGGGCATTTCATCTTTAGACAAACAGTCACCACTCCTTCATGTCTGCCATGAAAGACTGCCATTTCGGCAACATTAGTCCAGATTGCACAAGGAGGCACTTATTGGCTCCATTAACATCTATAGGTTTGTTCCTTGCCAGGAGATTTTGACGACGCAGAACTGGATGACTACTCATTCTCATGCTACAGTCAGCTGGAAGTGGACGGACCCCAGCACTTGCTGACCTGCACGTTTGATGACTTGGACATCAACAGCACCAACCTGGAATTTGAAATATGGTGAGGAATGGTGCCGTCAATGGGTGCTTATAAATCCTCCATCTCTCTTTCGTATACTGCACGGCAACAGCTGCAAAGGAGAGTGTGGGGGCTAATTATCAAATATTAAAATTGAGTAAATTCCAAAAACTTCCCCAAACTCCTTGGCTTTCACCAAGAGACTCAAGCAAAGAAGCACTCAGGAGCTCATCTTTCAGGTCCTCGCTGCTGCAGCCAAACAATGGTGTGGATGTGGCAGGTCCCACATCCCTCCTGACTTCATGGCAGAATTTAAATTCTGATTGTCCTGGTTCACTCCTCCCCTGAAGGCTCTTTGCCCAACGTGGAACAAGCTAGTGTCTTCAAGCCACACTCAGGGCAGGTGCCTGGTTTCTGATCCTAACACGAGCACTTAACTGGCTTTTTAACCTAGAGTAAATTGTGTAACTTATCTGTTCCTTTGTTTCTTCACCTGTTAAATACCACCTCATAGGGAGATGTGAGATTAAATAATTTAATGCTTCAATTATTTAATTGGATGATAACATCTAGTATGTAATAAGTAATGAAAAAAAGGCATCAAGTCAAAACTCTATGAATCTAGACCCAACTGCCACCCAGCCAGTTGCCAATACCAGTTTTCTAAAAATCCACAGGAAGAAATTGACTCTGGGTTTCATGGAGCCACTAAGAAAGGTAAAAAGAAAGAGAAAGTCTCTTAGCTGATTTGAAAGTTTAGTAAAGAGCTCAGAGAACTTATCTTCTCCCTCTTCCACAAATCATCTCTTGTTGCCAAGAGTTACTATCTCTGATGACTTGAAAAAAAAATACTCTGTCATGAAATTCTGACTTGTGGCTATTTCCAAATTCATATCAGATGACCTAATTTTAGTTAGTTGTGTAGTAAGGAAAATGAATCAAAATCTACCAGTAGTAAAAGAGGGCTTCTTATATTCCATAGACAGCCAATCTCCCACAATACTTGGTCTTGACAAGCCCTGAATCCCATGTCTTATGTTAATTCCCTGCCTCTGTGCATGCAATGTCTCCTGCTAAGGTCTTTGGATAAATATGACCTTGGACTTGAATGCCATAATGTGTTCTCAGTCTGCCTCTGTCAGTTCACTTCTATCACATGCTTTCCAGGAATAACATACATCTAGAGAAGAAGAACCTACAATGTCCAGAGTCTGTGCAACAAGTAGACTCCACTAAAGCTGCTAAACAACTCATTCAAAAGACGCACATCATTTTTGTGGGCAAAACCCCCTCTGACACAGAGGTCTGCTTTGCCTCTCCAGCCAGCTGGGTGGTAAATGGCAGTGGTTTTAATTGGGGAGGCAGAGGTTGACCTTCTGTCCACTTTCACTCATAACAGTACCTGACCACTTCCTTGGCCACTTGAACAAACTTCCCCGCTTCCTTTCACGAGTCTCTTGATTTCTCCTGTCGTATTTTAACTTGTCCGTAGCCTCCATTTGGGTTGTTAGGTTGGATTCAGGTATTTCCATTGGAAAGGGATTATTTTAAGACATGTTTTCTGTGTTAAAAAGTAAGTATGAAGCCCTTAGTAGGCTAAGATGCTTCTAGAAGGCAGTTATCTTCACAAAGTTAGCCACGCCTTGAGGGGAAGATTCGTGCAACTCCTGGGTTCTGAGCAGTGGTGTAGCTCAAGTTAAGTGTGTGTTAAGTCTTTTCAGTCATGTCTGACTCTTTGTGACTCTATGGACTATAGCCTACCAAGCTCCTCCTGGGATTCTCCAGACAAGAATACTAGAGAGGGTTGCCATGCCCTCCTCCAGGGGATCTTCTAGACCCAGGGATCGAACCTGCATCTCTTATGTCTCCTGCATTGGCAGGAGGGTTCTTTACCACTTAGGGCTACCTGGGGGGCTGTAACTCAAGTTAAAGCCCCTTAAACAGTGTTGAATTTGTTGCTAAGTTTGGATTTCTTTCCCCCAAAATTGCTTTATGCGAGCTTTTTTTTTTCCTGTGAATATAAATTTATAAGCAAAGAAATTGGAAATCACTGAAAACTGAGTTCTGGTCTTTACACAGGTGGGGTTTTTGAGGGAAACCAGATGTTTCCCAGAGGGCTCACCAGGGTCATTTTCCAGCAAGCACTTACCACCTGCCTGATCTGGCCGCCAGACTCCCAGGCTTAGAAACCAATAATTTAGGGTTCAACATGCGGATCCATCTCTCGGGGATGGACTTGGATTAGCCAAAATCACAGAGGCGAATGACCAGCACGCCAAGTGATGACTTCACATGGATAAATGCAACTCTTCTAGTGAACCAAATATTCATCCCGCGCTCAAGTCTTTGAGGGGAGGTGACAGAGAGGGCAGTAGATCGTACATCAATATAAATCCACTCTCACTGGGGGACCTAGAAATTTTTTGTTCACCAGCACCCTGACAGGCTCCCAGGTACTAGCAGTGACAAAGCTGAAGCTCCGGAAACAGGCACAGAGGTTGTTATCTCAATAATCAATATAACCAATAACCCCAGTAACTAGCTCTGTGACCTGAGAATCACATTTAAAGTCTGATCATAACAACTGCTCACACTGAGGTAGAAGGATTAGTGTCTGGCTTATGGTTGGTGCCTGTAAATGATATTTAGTTTTGTGTCATGGGATTTTCATTTAAAAATGTGATCCAAAGGTTCAGTAAATATAGAAGCAAAACAAAGGAAATCTGTTTGCTGATTTTATTGATAAAACCAGTTATTTGATTCAGATCTCAAAGTGGTTAATTTTCTTTTTTGATTTAGTTGCTAGCATTTAAAAATCTAGGTATCTCTTTGAAAATCAGATTTGGTAATACTGGGCCCAAACAGCAAAAATTAACTGAGCAGAATTCTGATGGCTTCCATAGATGGAGAATTAAATCTCAGTCATGAAGTTAGCCCACTGTTCTCATTTTCATTACCCACGTGGACACCATAGGCATGTAAATTTGGGCCCCTGCTTTTTAGCTGTTTGCATAATTTTCACAGGCAGCTCTCAGAAGATAATTGCATTTCCTTTATTTCCACATTGGTGGAGGCACCACAGTCACTCCCACATGCCACCTACAGATACCACTTCAAATATGTCATTTTTTTTTTTCATCAACTACCACCAACATCACAGGTTGCATCCAGCCCAGGTTACCTCATGTTCCTGACTTAACTAGCAATATCTGTTAAGCGTTGTTAATCTAGCCCTTTCTAAGCCATACTAACTTTTGAGAAGATTCTGTCTTTTAGGACCAAATGAGGAATAACATTTGCGGTTTGTTTTTAGTATTTCCATGTAAATACCTGCTTGCACCAACAAGAGAAATGTGTTTATCACACTAAACTACACACGTTTGTAGGAGATTGAGGAAAGTGGCACTGAGGTGAAGAATTCTGTGGTCCCCAGCAGTCTCTATTTTCAGAAAAAAGGAATTTGTGTAAGTAGCTTAGGGTTGATGTCCTCCACGGGACCAATTTTGCTAGCCTATGGGTCTACTTGGGTGCCTGTAGTGATCTTTTCTCCCCACCAAAATACCCTAAAACAGTTGTATCCAATAGAAATATAATATGACCCACAAATGTGGGAGTGATATATGTAATTTAAGCTGTCTAGTAGCCACATTTAAAAAAAAATAGGTGAAAATTAGTTTTAATAATATCTTATTTAATGTAATATTGCCAAAATATTATCATTTCAACCTGCATGAACAAAAAATATGAACTGTATGAATATAAATATTCATGAGGTATTTTGAATATCTACATCTTCAAAATCTGGTATTTCATATTTGGAGCACCTCTCAATTTAAACAAGCCATATTTCAAAGATTCAAAATCCACACATGGGGCTGTGGCCATTGTGTTGGGGAGTGTAGTCCTAGAACATTCCTAATCCTCACAATACACACTTAGCACCAAGTAAGTTGTTTTAATTTAATTAAGCGAATTGAAATTAATTGGATTGACTAGAGTTGAGCCACTCATGGGAGACCCCGAGTTTCCTCTGATCACCTGAAGCCAGGGTCAGGGGCATGAAACGAGGCTATCTCTTCTAGACCACAGTCGTCTCTTAGTCTCCTATCATGGCTTCCCCTCCACAGAGAGCAGGTCCTAGAGCTCAGGGCCCTTAAAGGGTGCCCATCCTTGTAAGGCAGCCATATGGTGATGCTTCATTGTTGTTGCTCATTGCTCACATTTCTTGAAAAGCAAGAATGAATTGAGAATATCATTTTAGATTCTTCTCAAATGTCCAACAGTACTGGAACATTCCTATACGCTAAGGATCTGCAATTGAATATTCCACACATGTCTGCTAGAGAACTCAGGAATGATCCTGGAAAGGGCTTATATGTGCACATGCAGAGAAACGTGTACACACATCCAATTTCATCGCAGAAAACCAACACACATTCTACACTGTGGGGGTAGCAAATGACCTTTGGAGAATATACTCTCCATAATTTTTTTCTCTAAAAAAATCTGATTAATGAGAAGAATTCTCTTCACAGAAGCCAACCATTTTCTACCACAATCCTCACTTCCAATTTGACCCAGTTTACTTCTTTTTAGTACTCTGTGGCTGGATTTAAATGGTATGTAGGGAAAACAAACTGGTAACCATGGTTATCACAAGAGATGTGAATCAAACTGGGGGTTGAAGGAAAGAAGAGAAATGAGTAATTTTCCTTTTACTCTGCATTGTTTATTTTTACAGTGAGAATACATACTTGGCTTTGCTTCTTTAATTTTTATGTCATTTGTTAATTTCATTTTACTTTCTTTTTTGATTACAGTTCATTTGGGGGGTAAAGTTTACCTACGGTAAAATGTAAAAATACTAAATGAGTTTTGAGAAACATATATGACATGTTGCCATCACCTCAGTTGAGATGCAGAAAATTCCTTTCACCCTAGAAGGATACATCATGTCCCCTTTCAATCTCTAATCTCCTGTGAGAAATCAGTTTTGAATTCTATCACCCTTGGCTTTGCTGGTTTCTGATAGTTCTTATAAA